AGTACCAGGTCTGGAGCAGGACCTAGCTTTGCCCGTGAGCCACTTATATCATGGGTCGGGTCGGGCCCAGCCCACGCCGAACACTATAAGTATGTAAGAAAACAAGGAATTTGTTTGGTAAACTCCTTAACTTATATAGATATATAAGTAGTTATGTGTTTGATAAATCAATAACTTATAAAATTGTGTTAAATGTCGAATGACTGAAAAAGACATATTGTTGTAACTCCATATTATGGCTAGTAAACACATTTTTTATTAACCAGATATTTAATAGTATTAAATTTATTAATTATTTAAAAAGAATTTAATTTAAAGATAAATTACTTAAAATGAATTATGATTAATTAATAATATTAAGATTAATTAGTTAATTTTCATTTGTTAAGGCAAATGATTATTATTAATTAAAATTATTAATTAAAAATTTAATTGATTCATAATAGAAATACTATTTGATTAAAATATTTTTATAGATTATTTATGTTTTATTATTAATTTATAATATGTAAAGATTTATTAATTAATTCAATACTAATTAATGTTTATTAATTAATTAATTATATGAAGAAATAGAATTCTTCATTAAATATCCTATTAAATTACATTTTTCTGTGATATTATTATTAAATTATGATTACATTAATTAATTCCAATTAAAATAATTGATATATAAAAAATTTGTTAATAATTAATATATAAAAATTTGTTATCTCATAGGATGAAATATATTTTGTTAAAATATTTGTATACATTATATTAATTGTTATTATTAATCAGACTAATGAGATTAATCAATTTCATATTAATAAAATAATTAACTAATTATTATTAATTATTAATAAATAATTATTAATAGTTTAACTAATAATAAATTCTTTATTGATATATAATTATTAATAAACTAATTAATTAGTAATTGATTAATAATATTAATTATTTTCTAATAAGAAAACATTTAATTAAGTAATAAGAATTGGCGGGCATTTTTATCTTTTGGCCACAATAAAGAAAGTTCCTTATAAGTAGAGAAAAGGTAAGCTAGGAAATCCCACCTTATAAGTAGAGAAAAAATAAGCTGGGAAATCTCAACTTAGTTTTTCCCTACTTATAAGTAACAAATAAGTAAAATAAGTAACATTTTCCAACCACCACATTAATACCTTATTAGTAAAAAGTTACTTATAAAGAGAAATAAGTAAGTTGCCAAACATGCTCGAAGAAGAAGGTGAAGAGTAAGTGAGACATGATTTTTGGGTTTTAAGGAGGCTATGGGTTATTAGCATGCGTCAAAAAGCACGGTATTGGTATAAATGGAAGGGGCAGAAGTGTTCAGAGAAGTGGCTCGAGCATTTCTGTTTTAGGTAACGTTCACCACAAGTTTGACTTAAAAAAATTTATTAAAATTAATTATCAAAAGGATTTATTAAGATATTAGTCCCTTAAATAATTAGTATTTTAATATTGGTCCCTCAAATCTTTACACATTTTGATATTAATCCTTCGAATTATCTTAAGATGCTGATTTTAGTCGCTCTAGTTAGTTGGTGTTAAAATGAAAGGGGAGTATTAGGATTTATTTAACTTTTTTTTTATTTTGTTTTGGACTAGATAATATACCTCTTTTCTCCCTTCCTTTCGACCTCCTCTCCATCTTCTCTATCATTGACTTAATAATTGATTCACTGAGAGAGGTGATAAGTGTAGATTTGGCGAAGAAATTAGAGAAGAACAGGATTTTTGGTGCTGACAAACATTTGGGGTGCTCTCCGGTCGACCGCAAGCTTTGGCGCGATCGAGTGGCATTGTGCATGACTTGGTATAGATTCTGGATCGTTGGCTGGTTGATCGTGATGATTTCGACGGTCGACCGTCAAACCTTGTAGTGGTTTTCTGGATTATGTCGTTCTGTCCGGTTGATCGCGAGCTTTGGCACGGTCGACCGCGAATCAGGTTCAGGTCTTTTTTAGTTTCCTGATCTGTTTGGAATTTATGATTGGTATAAATACCAACACACATTTTAGGGTTTCTTTGGCTTTGATTGGTGATTGAATTGGGGATATTTGGAGTACAAAAAATGGTATTTACTGAGCTATTGGTTAGGGTTTTGTTTGGAGACAATTAGAGATTTGTAATCTCAGTTTGTACTCTTCTTCTCTATTAGTAAAAACCCCATCCCCTTCTTGCCCCGTGGACGTATGTAACTTACCGAACCATGTTAAAATTGGTTGTTTGTGTTTGTAGCATTACTTTGGTTTGTTTGGCCTTCTCTCGGCATTTGTATTTGGTTTCTCGAAGCACATCGGTTTTGGCTTTCATGCACAACAAGTGGTATCAGAAATCGGGCTACGCTTGGGCTAATTGGAGGAGTAGATCACTTTGGAAGCTCGTCTAGGTTTTAGTTGGTGATAAAGGTAAGATTTTTACTATTATGGATCTTGTCTTCCGTCGTGTGGGAGTGAGATATTTTGGAGGCTCTTGTTAGGGTTTAAGTTGGAGGTAAAAATCTACCTTTCTCGTAGTTTGGATTTATTTTCTTTCATCCGCATTGGTTTTGTTAGTGCTTTGAGGAAGATGGCTGAGAAAGAGGATTTGTGGCTGGGATATTTGAGTGTTGATGTCATGTATGGATTGTTGAGGAGTGCTTTGACCTATAGATTGAAGTCTTGTGAGCACATTGGTGTGAGTAAGGAGACCGAGGTGGAGTTTGGCAATTCTATCCATCAGTCGAGAAGTCTTCTAGGTGGTGTTCATTCAGGCATTTGGGGGCCTTCCAAAAAGGCATCATTGGAAGGTAATTAGTATTTGGTTTCCTGCGTAGGGGATTGTTCTAGGAATTTTTGGGTAGCAACCAAGTCTCGTTCGTATGAAGTCCTAGTAGTCAACAACAGGTGGAGGAAGTATATTGGCAGAAAGGTTACCCGTCGTTCTATTTTTGGTAGGGGTTCTTTCTTGCATTTGTGTTGAGCTCACGAAAGTTTGAGACACTTCATTGGAGAGAAATTTTTGGGCAACGAGATGAGATGACAGTTTTGATGGATTGTTTCTTGCTAAAGGAGGATCGACGTGGGTTGTCGAGCATTAGATTGTAGAGGAGTTTTTGAGCTTCGACATATTTGGGTCATCTTAGTCATAGGTTGTCGACTACTGCGTTTGGAGATTTTAGATCTGGTGGAGCTGCTTTAGATTTTGGGTTGTGTCGGATGTTTTGTAACCTAGCATTTGGTCACATCGAGGATGTGAGAATTGATCTAATTGCACATTTGGAATTTAGAAGCTCGTTTGGTTATTAGTTGGGAGTCTCTGATTTTGTTCTGAGCAGGAATATCACATTTGACTCTCAGCAGGTAGAGAGTGTTGATCAGATTGTTGAGATATCACAACAGGTGGAGGGTGATGCTACTCCATGTTAGGTGGAGATTACTCCACATACTCCAGATCATACTGTATCGTTTGGGATTCCAGCTAAGGTGACACAGTTTGGGGATCATTTGGATTTGGATCCAGATGATGAGTTGGTTGATTCGAGTGCAGCTGGTGGACATAGTTTCGATTTGGATATGGACGTTGGTTCACCTCAGGTGGAGGTATTTGGTTTGTTTCACTTTGGGGCCATTGGGAGAGCTATCAGCCATAGATTTATTGGTGAAGAGTTGAGAAGTCTTCTATTGGATTGAGAGCCTTTGGAGGCCATTTGGTGAACTACGTGAAGGCTTGATTCCTTGGGCAAGAGGATACGTAGGCAGTCATTTATGATACAGCCGATTTGGTGAGTAGATACTTACATTTGGAGAGTGATCACATTCTCATTTGGGTCTGAACTTGTTGTGGATTGAGTCCGTTATCGTGAGTTTGTTTTCATATCATATTGTACACAACAAGTGGGACATTTGGTTCGGTTGGTATCGGCCAGTTTTGGGAAAACTTCACTGAGGTGAAGAATTGTAGATTTGGCGAAGAAATTGGAGAAGAACAAGATTTTTGGAGCTGACAGACATTTGGGTGCTCGCTAGTCGATCGCGAGCTTTGACACGGTCGACCGGCAACGTGCACGACTTGGTACAGATTCTGGATCTTTGGTCGGTCGATCGTGACGATTTCGGCGGTCGACCGCCAAACTCTGTAGTGTTTTTTTGGATTCTGTCGTTCTGTCCGCTCGACCGTGAGCTTTTGTGCGATCGACCGCGAGCTTTTGTGCGATCGACCGCGAGTCGGGTTACGGTCTGTTTTGGTTTCCTGTTCTGTTTGGAATTTGTGTTTGGTATAAATACCAACACACGTTTTAGGATTTCTTTGGCTTTGATTGGTGATTGAATTGGGGATATTTGGAGCACAGAAAAGAGGTATTTTCTGTGCTATTGGTTGGGGTTTTGTTTGGAGAGAATTAGAGATTTGTTGGTGAGATTAGTTGGTCGGTTTGAGTGATTTGTAATCTCAGTTTGTACTTTTCTTCTCTATTAATGAAAACCTCATCCCCTTCTTGCCCCGTGGACGTAGGCAACTTGCTGAACCTCGTTAAAATTGGTTGTTTGTATTTGTGGCATTACTTTGGTTTGTTTGGCCTTCTCTTAGCGTTTGTGTTTGGTTCCTCGAAGCACATCGGTTTTGGCTTCCGCGCACAACAATAAGTTTAAAAAGAAAGCAAAAATTGTAGTGGTTACATGAAATATTGTGATTTTTTTGACAGCAAATTGAGTTAGCATATCACAATATTTTGCAGGTTATTTATTTTTTCTTAGTTTCTTCGAGTAAATATCTATGAGGTTATTGTATCCTTTAGTAATGTGATTGCTAATTACAGATTGCTATTTAAATGGATTGTAACCATTACAGTTCCTACCTGACCGCTGTATATATAATTTCTGAAAATTGAGATGGTGTTTAATATTTCCGAAGATTTTCCTTCGTTATCATTATTGTATATGAGCTCTTGAGTCTCAGTCCAGATTGAACTAGACAACTTCTCGTACATCCTTTCAATAGTTATATTAGTCCCAATAGACATGAAACAAAGACCATTAATTACCACATACTACTAATAGAACAAGTCCATTAAGTAAGACACACCATAAGACATACATATGCAAATAAGGAAACCAAAGCTTTGGCTCCTTTCAAACCCTGGCATCAAAATAAAACACACAATTGCATACACGTAAACGCCAAATTAAGTACTTATTTGATTTATTTAATTTCACCCTGCCTTCATGTTATATAAATATCCACAGGGTGAAAGTTCACAGTAACGCCTTTCATTTGCCGCAGTTGCAGCCATCGCAGGTGCAGTTGGTGCCACACTTGCACTTGCCATCGTTCTCACCGCAGTCCGCAACCTCAACGACATCCTCAAAGGTGCTTAAAGAAATCACAACAAAGTTCAGAGGGTTATGTGAGATGAAAAAGTTAGCTGGTTATGTGCAGAACACTAAATTC